CTCGGGAGCACAAAAGTGATCGACATCCACGAGGAGCTCAGAGTCCATTGCGCGGCAAGCACAACGAGATCGTCACTATCGAGATTAAACCTAACAAGGTTTTCGAGAACGACGGTGGCCACCATGTTGACGACGTGTTCACCGAGCTGGTCTACCATCAGTCACAGTTGCCGTACTATATGTTCACCCAACACACGCAGGAAAGCCACAAGCAGCCGCAAAGGAATTGCAACACCCAAATCGTCCACTGACAAACAGGTATCAGATATTATGACAGGGCCCATCATCCAGCTGTCAGCCTGCCGAACGCCATTCTCAAAAACCTCACTTAGCCGCTCTGGGTTTTGCTTATGTGTTTATCGGGGTTAAGCATGCTACTAACAGCATAGTAAGTGGTTGATAACAAGTTATATCTCGTTAGAACTAGTTTTAATGGCGTCAAAAAACAATCCAGGTTAGAAGTATTACATATTCTCCTTCCAAAGTATGTTAAGTCCGAGAACTTGATTAAACAAATGGAAGAGTCAGCTAAAAATAAGTTTACCGTCGGGGCCAAACTTGGTTAAGTTTCACTGTACCTTCCTCCCACCCAACCTCAGGTGTTTGCGGGAAAGGAGTTGTGCAACCGACGAGACCTGTTCAGCAGAACTTCAGCAGCCAGCAAGATCAAAGAGTCATTTCGAAATTGAAGCATGATGGAAACCGAAAAAATTGCAAGCCTGCACATATTTTAAAACTGTCACAGCAGCCGGATTCGACCCTGAACAGGTTTGGTAGACACTGCGTGCGAATCCGAAAAAGTAGAGTTGGAAGAAAGGAAGAACCTGAAGTCGAAGCTTCGCACGAGGTCTTCATCACGGTCAGTTTGAAAATTTAAAGGTTAGAAGCCATGTAGCTGTGGCTCTAGAAATGCTTGAACTGGCACACATCGGGAGCGTCGTCCTACCCATTTGGGACATGGGTCAAGTTTTCGACATTCGAAGGTTTAGGGTTGAAGGCTTGAAGGGTTTTGCCCAAGCTTTGTAAAAAGGTTACATGTCTTGGGTTTGTGGTTGAGGGGCACCTGCAGTCGCCAGCCTCCAGAGGCTCTCAGGATAGCTCCCAGAAGCTGCATGAGCCCTTAAAGGCTTATAGGCTAGACCATGAGAAAACCAGGACACGCTAGCTCTCTGAGACAGATGACAAGAGAAGGAATAAGCCCGCGCGAAAATATGCGCCCGTGTATGGTGGGGGAATAGAAATGCACAAAAAGCATGGCCCTGTGCGTCAATTGGCGTCTCCGGAGAGCTGAAAGCTAGCCTGTTTGAAGCGCCTGGCCGGACCACTCCCAACGACCGAACTGTCACGCAGGTCTCCAAAGCATTCATGCCAGATGGAACTGCCAAGCCACGTCTGCTGAGCCCGAAACGTACAGTCAAGAGTTCATTCAGATCCTTTTTTTCAACATTGTCATCCTGTCTGCAGACAGGGGTGCCGGAAGCAAACATGTAGCAGGCCCATCTGCTCCAGGGGTATGGATTGCAGGCTGAAACAAATCCTCCATCTTGACCAGCTGCAAGGTTGCAGGAGTGCTCTTCCAAACACTGGCGTGAGTGCTAGGCCTTTCTCGCCCTGCTGCTGTCAGGCACAATAGACCACACACTGGTCTCCGGCGTCCTTTTCCAGGTGCTCTCGAAACGCTGACCAGTCTGGGTATCAAGCCGTACATGGCTCCCTGAACCAACCACCGCTCCCTGACAATCCAGGCCTCTACCAACACTTTCGGGGGCCTTGTGATGAGAGTCCGTCTGGTCTCCTTCCGAGGTGCCAGCAAGAAGGCACATTTCAAGGCACATTTCACATCCACCGTTGCTCGTTTTCTCCCTTTCGTAGAACGCACCTCACGTCGATGCCCCCCGCATAGTTCTCGGTCTTGTCCGCCGAGGTCCGTGCCACCTTGCCATTGCCGTCCGCCAGCAAGTTGCCACATATCACCGCTCTCGCTCTCTTTCTTCCCGTCGGAGCCTTGATGGTCGTGAACAGCTTCCCTGGGGCATACTCTGCGTCGTCAATCCCCGGGGCCGCCAATTCACTTTCATCGATGGGCTTGACCACCTCCGTTTTCACGACCCTCCACGCTTCCAGGTTCTTCCGCACCTCCTGCAAGGGCACCATGTAGGTTTGTAGAACCTTTCCGGCCCTTCTCCCTCTACTCCTTGCAGTCCCGTGGAAATCCTCCAGTTGCAGCTCCTTGACCAATCCCGGTGGTCTCATCCGTGGGGAGCACCTTGAGCTCTTCTGCTAGCGCTTCCTTGAAGCCCCACTGGTAGCTGCTGATGAGGTTCTTCGTCTCCTCCATGCTTCTTTCAACAACCCCACGATGTTGATGGAGAACCCCCCCCATTCGCAGTTCACGCAGAGCGGGCGCCAAACCTCCTCCATCGTGTGCAGCTGGATGCTCTTCCAGAAGCCTTTCTTCACCGTCTCCCCCCAGCTTAGGGCTTGGATCTAAGCTCTGCTTGCCCATCAGCCTGGTGTGCTGGATGGCCCCGTCTTCTGCCTGAACCACCCAGCCCCAAATCATCGGACTGAGGGCCTTTCTTGTGCCACCGCTTCGTTTTGGCCATGGCCTTCTCTTCACTTGGTTAACCTCCGTCTCTACTCGTCCATTGGCTGCATGGTCATCGCCCGCCGTCATGGTGAGCAACAGATTGTGTTCCAAGCACCACTGCTGCACCGGCTTGGCCAGGGACTCCTTTGCCCTATCGCAACGCATGCGGTACAGCGGGATGCCCAGGCTGCGATACTGCACAAAGATCAGGCTGATGGCCCTGATCTGCGCTCCTTGGTGCCCTGCACCGTCACTGCCCAGTCAGCGCCGGCCATGATGCAGACTACACAGCAACACGAGTCTAAGCAAAGTTTCTTCAGGCTGCACTGCCTTGTAGCCCTCTGCACTTGAATGCCTTCTGATCTGCATGTTGTGCCTGCAGCTCTGGACGCATGGCACTTTCCCTGCATGCTTGCCACATGTTGAGCCTTTCCCCAGAGCCCATGCTCGGAGCTGCAGAGAGACACTCATTCCACATGTCTCCGACAAACAAAAAAAAACATGCATGTCCAGCCTTCACGGGCTTCACAACTTCAGGTTTCTTCACAAGCCTGCATGGGCTTCCTATCAGCTTGAAAAGCCTGTATCTTCGCTGTCGTTTCTTCGAGCCTGCAGGGGCTGAGCCAGCATCCAAGTGCTTCGCCTTCACATATTCGTGACTCTTGCTTAGGAGCCTTCACAGGCTTCCCGCAGAAATAAAAAGCATCCATGTGCTTCCTCCCTGATTCTCCTCGAGGCTGCTGAAAGTTGCTGTCGCAGACCTGCTTCTTTGCAAGCTTGCGTGCTCCATGCATGCACGATTTCTTCCACAGAAACCACAAAATGATAACATATTTCTACACCACATGAGAAAGAAAGACTTGAAAAACATGTTTGGGAGCCATTGCTTTATTTGTTCCAGACAAACTGAACTGCTTTTTTGGACCTGAAATATGCGACTGCTACTGCTGCCTTTGCTTCAATACATGAGCTGTTTGAACCAGATCGAACACTCAAAGACATGGCGCGTCACACGCTTCACAACAAGAGAAGGTTCTTCAATCCAGACGGACTATCCTGTTTGAGTGATGACTTTTTTTCCACGGGATGATTCCCGCAGCGCAGGCAATGCGGCGATGGCATGGGAAGGTTTGCCTTGAGAAGAACAGCTTGCATTCCTAGATGACGTGACGGGGAACGTTCGCGACTACAAGGTTTCCTCTCCGCCTCAAACGATCATGAACAGAAGAGGCGATTCAGATTGGCGTCTTGCTCTCATGGCCATCATCAAGAAAATTAAAGAAGACCCAACACCACCGAGAGCACCAAAAGAGAAGAGGGACAACAAGTGGCAGAACACAAGGGACACTCCTCAACAAAGTGCTGGTCAGGTTCACGCACCTACTGTCACAGGAACTCACCACAACAAGGCAACTGGCGCAAATACCAATGGAAGTGAAACTCAATTTCCTACGACAACCGCGACATGGCTTCCTTGAGCAATCCTGCGCAGACAGGGTTTCAGTTCGAAAGCGAGACAACAGAAGATGCGACGATATCCTCCGCCACCCTTTTTCCACCTCGACCAACCATTTTCCTTGATACCGCATGGATGTGACGACATTTCTTCACGAACTATATCGACTGAATGCGAGGTAGGCAATCCGTTTGACACAGCCGAAGACACATACGGAGTGTCTCTTTTTGCTCAAGTAGCATTTCTAGACAGGCCTACCAGCTGTCCGTCATTTGAGCACAGATCTCTTTTCACGACACGGCTACAGTAAATCGCATGGCTACGGCGCAAAAGCCTTTAGTAATTAGGTGCTTGCCAGGCAGTTGGGCCGTTTTGGCTCAAGGCCTTTCTTAGTCTCACTTACTCCCCTGTTAGCCTATTGCCAATGATAGGAAGTTACATAGCCTAGGGACGGGACACAAAGGGCATTTGCGCCTGCGCAGGCTGGATTCACAGCGCGCACAATCCAGGAGCTTTCTCATATTCATTACTTTGACACTCGTTGTGTTCCGAGAAGTAGATTGAAAGGGCTACTCTTGGAAAGGGGCTTTGTACACTTCCCTATTAGAGGGTGCTGTCACTTGCCTAGGGGCTGGGGTAGGGGGGTTGCCTGAGCCTTGGGTTGAGGTGCCTTGGCGAGATATCTAGATGTTGTTTTTGATACCCCCAGCCTGACTACTTGAAGCTGGCCAGCTTTGCCCGGTGATGTTAGCATGACTGCAACAGCGTACTAGAAATCATTTTACCGTCCGCAACAGCAATGATATAAAACCCAACCTTTCAGTTTCGCTCTACCTGGCGGTCTGGGGTTGTGGTTTGGAGGTGGTCCGGCAATTTCTCATTTGGCACACGAACCAGTGTTCAAAGCCTAAACGCAATCCAAACCATCAATTCAGAGTCTCTTCATTGCTGAAGGTTCTCAGCAGCTGCGAGCGCGCCGAGAAGTGGCAGACTGCGCTCCTGGTGCTGGACGAGCTCCAGACGCATCGCGTGGACTTGGGGGGTTGGGGGGAGGGGTTTGTTGGTGCTTCCTGAAACTTGTTGGGGGCCCTTTTCAGCTCTTGTATGTTCATTTTTGCTTGTGGTCCCTGGGAACAGCCGATGTTTTTGTAGTTCCCTTTAAGTGCCACCAACAGCGTGTCCTCCATTTGAGAAACTCACTTCCGTGTTCTACGGCGAACTCTGGAGGTAAAACGAGCTCATCATGATGTAGGCCCTTTGCTTAGGATCCCTGATTTGACAGTACTTTAGAGCTATCATTTCTAAATTGCAGTTTGCTTGTTCTAAGGTTGAACTTTGGAACTGGTTTGCGTTTAATTGTTTTTTTTGAGCCGGTGCCAATTGGATTGTTTCACAGGGGGGCCAATGCTCTGTGCATTCAATTACCCAGGGCTTCCGCGGAAAATTGCAAGGTTTCACCGGCGCACTTGTGCGGTTCTGGGCCATTGCCACACGAAATGTCAACCGCAATCAAGTGACTCTTTGCCCTCCTACAACATGGAAGGCATAAACGACTTTTTGAAGCATCGCGAAGGGTTCTTGCGCGCGGAGCTCTTGGACCAACTTGCATAGAGCCGAGTGCATAGACATGGAGCCAAGTGCATAGAGCAGTGCATAGAGCCAAGTGCATAGAGCCAAGTGCATAGAGCCAAGTGCATGGAGCCAAGTGCATAGAGCAGCGCATAGAGCCAAGTGCGTAGAGCCAAGTGCATAGAGCCAAGTGCTTAGAGCCAAGTGCGTGGAGCCAAGTGCATAGAGCAGCGCATAGAGCCAAGTGCATAGAGCCAAGTGCATAGAGCCAAGTGCATAGAGCCAAGTGCATAGGGCCAAGTGCATAGAGCCAAGTATGGAGCCAAGTGTGTAATAGAGCCAAGTGCATAGAGTCAAGTGCATAGAGCCGACTGCGCAGAGCCGAGGCAGAGAGCGGAGTGCAAAGAGCCAAGTGACAGAGCCGAGCGCATAGAGCCGAGTGCATAGAGCCAAGCGGCATATGGCACTTCGGCGGTAGCAGCTATGTAAGTTAAGTTTAGCTTCTAGGGCGCCGGGGCAGGACTTTGATCGTCGATCGGGGATCGGCGTGGTCGAGGTGCAAAAACTCCAGGTTTTTTGTGCCCGCGCGACCCTCTGCGGGGATTGGCGTGGTCAAGGTACAAAAACTCGAGGTTTTTTGCGATTTCTGATCTGACGCGACCTTCTGCGGGGATCGGGGTGGTCGAGGTGCAAAAACTCCAGGTTTTTTCTTTTGCGTTTTTGCGGTGCGCGGATGAACCCTCTGCGGGGATCGTGCGTGTCGACGCGCTCTCGCTGCGAATTCGTGTTAGTCTCGGCGAACCCTCTGCGGAGATCGTGCGTGTCGAAGCGCTCTCACTGCGGCGCCGTGCGATTTTATTACTCGCGAAATGGTCTTTGGAAAGTTGTCTCGTGGTTTGCGCGCCTGCTTTCGCAATCGCGCAAGCCGTAGTATGTGGAGTGTACTCCTGGCGGCTCCGGCCAGGAAATCGCAACGCTGAAGCGCAGACGTATAGTGCGCGGAGCACCTCCACAGCTCAGCTCAGGCTGAGCATCTTGCGCACAGATACAAGCGCCGAGCGTCTTGCGGAGAGAAACTTGCACAGAGCAGCGTGCGCAGAGCAGCTTGAAGACCGATGTCGAGCCACTTGCGTGGAGCAGCTTGCAGAAAGCAACTTGCGCGCAGCAGCCTGGAACAATGCAGCTTGCGCAGACACTGAGATGGAGCTCTCATGTGACCATACACATTGAGCGTCGCTGCGCAGATACGCTCGCCGCATCGGTGTCTCCGCGGCTGGAAGAGCGCTTGGGGAAAAATGCTTTCGGGCCAATCGTCCTCTAGTTTACAGCTTTTTCCCTGCGGGTGGTTTTATTTTTTTTCAAGGTAAATATTTTTGCAGTGTCCCTTGCAGTAATTTTCGCATATTGTGAATGTGGCTCACCTGATGGTGACACGCACGCAAAGCAAAGGAAATTGCAAATTTAAGTCCTGGGTGTTGACTGCACTTCGGCTTGGCCAACAGAAGCCCGGAATGGTGATGAAGACGGGGTGCTCACATTCCTGATTTGGGGGCCAACGGGTTTCTCATGAAAGATGCCATGGTTTGGCTGCACATAAGGCCCTTGCCATCGGACATGCCAATGGCTGGTGGAAACACGTCTAGAGTGTTCTGGTTTGTTGTGTTTTCGTGACAGCAACACCTTGTTGCCATGCGCGGATGGGCCAGGTTCAAATCCACCGGAAGCAGGCCTTTGTGTGGAGTCACTTGTGCTTACTGAAGGAAGCTTAGAAGAAACTTCCATTGTACGGAAACAAATTGAAACTAACTGAAACTTCCGTAGCTTCAGAGGCGTATGCAGATTGCTTGCGCACAGGTATGAATGCGCGCGAGAACATGTGTGGGCGTGAGGTGGGGGAATAGAAACGGCGCAAGAGAGTGACCCCCTGCGCGGTTTGGCGAGTTTGCCTCGATGTCAACCACCTCTGTTTCGACGCCTGTCTGGCCTGTTTGGCGCGGGCGCGGCGGGCATGAGGTTTCGCAAGGCTTCACCTGCTTGGCAGGCGCAGCACTTTCGCCAGGTGAGGCCTGGCGCGCAATCTGTACCTGGCCTTGCAAAAGTGTTGCGCCTGGCGCGCAAACCTTTCGAAAGTGCTGCGCGTGGTACGAAATCTGCACCTGCCCTTGCCAGAGTGTTTCGCCTGCCACGAAATCTGTAGCACTTTCACAAGGTCAGGTAAGTTAGAGACAGCGAGAGAGATAGGTAGGTAGGTAGGTGGATAGTTCGACAGAGACAGAGGTACATAGATCGACAGATGGATCGGAGATGGATGGCTGGGCGGATGTGAACGGATGGATGGACAGATGGATGGCTGGCTGGATGGATGGTTGGGTGGATGGATGGATAGACAGAGAGAGATCGAGGGAAAGAGAGAGATACATAGGTAGAGAAAACTGATGCAGCAATAGAGGCATGGAGAGAGAGAGGGGTAGATAGATCGACGAATAGAATAGTTAGCTAGTTAGATAGATGTGTAGACAAAGACCTAGCTAGAGAGAGAGATAGGACAATAGATAGACATAGAGATACAAAGCTAGAGATAGGCAGGTAGGTACATAAATGCAGAAATAGGAGATAGAGAGGGAGAGGTTCAAAGATAGATAGGTAGATAGACACACAGACAAAACGATAGAGAGAGAGAGAGAGAACCAGGACGATGGATGGATAGGGAGATAGAAAGGTTGAGATAGAGGTAGGTAGAAAAAGAGGAACTGAGATAGAAAGATGCCCAGAAAGATAGATGGACGGTTGGATATAGAGACCGATAGATACACAGATTGGTATGAAAGTAAAAAAGAAGGGAAGGCAGAAAGAACAGAAAGCAGAGCGAGGGCGCCCCTACCCTACTGACCGCTGACATGTCTTGTTTCGTCAGAAGCTCCTCCTCAGCATCGCCTGCGTCACCCGGATCAAGACACCAGGGCCCCAAAACGTTTGCGACGGCCTTCCCACCAACACCCCACACATCCCAGCATCCCCCTGCAGCCAACCAGCGCAGCCCTAGGATAAAGAAAGAAAGAAATACGGAAAAGAACGAAAGAAACAAGGAAAGAAAGACAGAAAGAACAGAAACCAAAATCAGAGGGGGAAAGAATAACGAAGGAAAGGAAAGAAAGAAACAAAGAAAAGAAAAGGAAAGGAAACAGAAGAAATACAGAAGGAAAGAAAGAAACGAAACAAATACATGAAAGAAAGAAAGAAAGAAAGAAGGAAAGCAATAAAGAAGGAGACAACGAAAGAAAGAACAGGAGAAGGAAAGCAAGAAAGGAAGAACGAAAGAAAAACAGAACATGAAGACAGAAAGAAAGATGGAAAGCAAGAGACAAGAACATACAGTGCAAAGAAGGAAAGGCAAGAAGGAAACAAAGACAAGAAAAGGAAAGAAAGACAGAAAAGAAGATGGAAAGAAGGAAAGAAAGGAAAGAAAAGGCCGTGAAGAAGGATGGAAACAAAATAAAAGGAACACAAATATCATAAATACAGAAGGAAAGAAAGAAAGGAAAGAAAGAAAGACAGAAAGAAAGAAAGAAAAGAAAAGCAGGAAAAGAAAGCTAGAGGACGATTGGCCCGAAAGCACTTTTCCCCAGGTGCTCATCCAGCCGCGGAGACACCTTTTTACATCGCTGCGGCGAGCGTGTCTGCGCGCGGCGATGCTCAATGTGTATGGTCACATGAGAGCTCCATCTCATCGTCCTACGAGAGGAAACATGGCAGTGCTCGATCCCACATATTTACATCCGTTAAAACAAGAAGAGTAAAGCTCGTAAAGCTCGAAACGAATTACAAGCAAAAGGAAAAGCAATCAATAGCAAAGCTTACACGACGGCCACAGTTTCTGCAAAGCACGCTCGCGCAACTTAGCTCTGTGCAAGATGGCTCTGCGCAGCTTGGCTCTGTGAAAGTTGGCTCTACGCAAGCTACTTTTCGCGAGTGGCTCTGCGCAACTGGCTCTGTGCAAGTTGGCTCTGCACGAGTCTGCTCGGCGCAATGTGCTTTGCACGAACTGCGCCGCGCGATTTCTCACGAAAGTGGTGTGCGCAAGCTGCGTTGTTCCAGGCTGCTGCGCGCAAGTTGCTCTCTGCAAGCTGCTGCGCGCAAGTGCTCCGTGCAAGCGCTTTGCGCATGTGCTCTGTGCAAGTTGGTCTGTGCAAGTTGCTCTGCGCAAGTGCTTTGTGCAAGTGCTTTGTGCAAGTGCTCTGTGCAAGTTGCTCTGCGCAAGTGCTGCCGGAGCTGTGGGAATGTGCTTCGCGTACTACTTTTGTACTTAAAAGTTGCGATATTCCAGCCGGAGCTGCGGGAGTGTGCTCCGCGTACTACGTTTGTACTTAAAAGTTGCGATTTTCCAGCCGGAGCTGCGGGAGCACGCTCCGCATACTACGTCTGTACTTAAATTCAAGCCGGAGCTGCCGCGGACCAGGGGGGAATCGAACCCGCGACTGCGGGATTGCGAAAGCAGGCGCGCAAACCACGAGACAACTTCCACAGGCCACTTCGCGAGCAACAAAATCGCACGGCGCCACAGCGAGAGCGCTTCGACACGCACGATCTCCGCAGAGGGTCGCGCGGGCACGGCAAAAAGACACAAACAATCCTCGAGTTTTTGCACCTCGACCACGCCGATCTCCGCTGGGGGTCGCGCGGGCACCGCAAAAAACAAAAAAACCTCGAGTTTTGCACCTCGACCACGCCGATCCCCGCAGAGGGCCGCGCGGGCATTTCAAAAAACAAAAAAGCCTGAGTTTTTGCACCTCGACCACGCCGATCTCCCCAGAGGGTCGCGCGGGCATATCAAAAAACACAAAAAACCTCGAGGTTTTGCACCTCTACCACGCCGATCCCCGCACAGGGTTGCATTCCCGATCGTCGGCAACATCCCCACCCCCCGCCTTAAAAGAGATTCTTAATACCGAGCTCTTTCTCTTTCTTTCCCGCGCGTGAAGTACTTAACCTAACTTACTCAACCTAGCTTACACAGCTGCTACCGCCGAGCCTCTACACCTAGCTTAGCTTAGCTCTATGCACCTAGCTCTATGCACTTGGCTCTATGCACCTGGCTCGATGCACTTCGCTCTTTGCACTTGGCTCTGTGCACTTAGCTCTGTGCACTTGGCTCCTTGCACCTCGCTCTTTGCACTTCGCTCTGAGCACTTGGCTCTATGCGCTTGGCTCTTTGCACTTGGCTCTGCGCAAGTAACTCTATGCTGGTGACCCCATGCTGGTGACTCTGTGCAAGTATCTCCATGCTGGTGACTCTGTGCAAGTATCTCCACGCTGGCTGTGCAAGTATCTCCATGCTGGTAACTCTGTGCAAGCTACTCTGTGCTAGTAACTCTGCGCGAGTATCTCCATGCTGGATCTTGACTCTGTGCAAGCTACTCTGCGCAAGTTGACCAAGAGCTCCTGATACTGCGGATGGACAAAATCCTGCACCACCTAAGAATCCCTGGAATGATGATTCCCCCGCAAATACCAGCAAACAATGGTTTCCCATGGTTTCGAAGTGGTGCAGGATTTTGTCCAACCACAGTATCTCCATGCTGGTGACTCTGTGCAAGCTACTCTGCGCAAGTTGACCAAGAGCTCCGCACGGAAGAACCCTTCGCAATGCTTTCGGGAAAAAAAGAAATAAATACATAAAGAAAGAAAGACAATGAACTAAATTCAAGAAGGAAAGGGAGAAAGACAGAAAGGAAACAGCGACAGAATGAAAGATGAACAGATAAAAGCAAAGAAGATAAAGAAGGAAAGGAAGGCAAAATTATAGGAAACAGAGAAAGAGAGAAAGAAAGAAAGAAAGAAAGAAAGAAAGAAAGAAAGAAAGAAAGAAAGAAAGAAAGAAAGAAAGAAAGAAAGAAAGAAAGAAAGAAAGAAAGAAAGAAAGACAGACAGACAGAGAGAGAGAGAGAGAAAGAAAGAAAGAAAGAAAGAAAGAAAGAAAGAAAGAAAGAAAGACAGAGAGAGAGAGAGAGAAAGAAAGGAAGGAAGGAATGAAGAAAGAAAGGAAGGAAGGAAGAAAGAAAGAAAGAAAGAGAGAGAGAGAAAGAAAAAAAGCAAGAAAGAAAGAAAGAAAGAAAAGAAAGAAAATAGAGAAAGAAAGAAAGAAAGAAAGAAAGAGACAGAACCAGAAACAGGGACAGAAACAGGGACAGAAACAGAAACAGAAAGAAAGAAAGAAGGAAGGAAAGGGAAATAAAACGAACAAATGTACATACATAAGCGGCAAATTAAAGACGGAAAGGAAAGAAAACAAATACAGGAAGGCAAGAAAGGCAAAGCAAGAAAGAAAGAACATACACAATGGAAAGAAGGAAGGGGAAGAAGAGTAAGAGAAAAACATAGTCAAGACCAGAGCTACAAAAATGTAATCTAGAAACATCCGACAACCGGAATCGCCCCGGTTTCGCTGGCTCTTCGTGAATCCCCGTTTGCATGATCTAAACGTCGCCTCCCTGGCCAGAGCTGATTTCTTCTTTGTGGCATGGGGTGATTAGAAAACGGACCGCGTGAGGATTGTTCAAAACCCCGTTCAAAAGAGACAACCAGCCTGTATGTTCTTCCGTAAGCTCGTTTCACGAGGGCATGAACCTCAGGTTCAAACACGTTGCAGCTGTGAACCAGCAAGCGGCAGGAGAGCAATCTGATCATTCGCAACACCGCCCTCAGCGCCTGGGCCAAAGGCCCGAAAACCAAAATTGGGAAGGCACCTCTTGGGCCAACGCCCAAGAGCCTGTCTTTGTTTTTGTCGGTGTGCGTTGTTTTCGCGGTGCCACTTTTTAGGGATGGTTTCCCTATTTTGGGAAACAGCCTCTGATTGAGCCTTTAGCCGGTTGGGTGGTATGTCCTCTGAGAGGCGAAGAATTCGACAACTGCAGCCGCCGTTGATCATCCTTCCTGATGAATGTGTTTTCTTGGGGGGATCCGGTGCAGCATTATCAGGTTGGCCAACACGAACTGAGTTGCTCCAAAACGCACGGAAATGCTATGCGATTGGATTGACGGGGGCTACGCTGCCCTTGGAAAAACAATGCTCATGAGCTATGAAGCTCTAATTTGGCTAATGTTTCGCCTTTGAGAAAACCCGAAGAGATTCGGGGGACAAGCCCTCGGCTGGTAGGATTTCATTTTCCAACATTGGTGCGTTGAAGGTGCGTTGTTGAGTTGAATTGAAAGGGCAAACCGCCAATCTTAGGGTTGCCTCAAATAAGACACCCTAGAGCTCTTTGAAGACAGCTGTGCAAGTTTGAGACGCATCATTTTGTCGGAGATTTCGCGAGGACATCAGTGGCAACAGGCCTTGGCATTCCTCAGGGACATGCCGATGTGTCCAGAGACTTGGACTGTTTGGAGGCCTTGCTTTGCCAGTGAGGCAGTCAGGTCCTTTATCATTCCAACTGCAAGCCTTTGAAATATGTTTCAGATGCCCAAACAAGTTGGAACTCAAGCATGCTGCCCTGTTGATCTTCAAAGCCTTGGTTGATTAGCAGGGGTTCCATTCAAGAGGCGATCCGCATCCCTTTTGTTCATGAACTGAGTAGAGGCCCAACGAGTTCGAGCTGTTTGCGAGGGCCGTAGGATAAAGCCAAATTTCAACCGGCCTCCCGGCCCTGCATTCACCGCGCCTTTCTGGTTTCAGAGCTGCAGCTGGCTGGATGTGACGCTATGGCTGAAGATTTTGTTTGACTTAAGCATGGCTACACAGGTTTACCACTTTAAGTGCTGGAGCCAAGACTCATCCAAGCTTCTCGTTTCCTTTCCGGGGGTCCTCTACCAAAAAACAGTCGGCACTGCGCCGGCTGTTTCTAAATGGTGGCCGTGGACAAGCTTGCCTGGTCTAAACCTTTAAAGATTTCCGTTGACCTTCGATCGACTAGGGCTTCCTTTGAGTAGGGGGCTCAAAATGAACCTCAACCAAGTCAGACCCTATTGTTGAGAGGGTCATTTGGTAAAGGCATTGCCACTGGGCACGGTTGCCTACGGTTCCAACCTAAACCATTGCCTTTACCCAAAGGGAAGTTGTTTGGTCAGAAACCAAATATGGGCCTGAGCGTCATGTAGAGACAGGTCCCTGGACTCAGGACGTGTTCTCCTACAACGCGGCGATCTCGGCCTGCGAGAAGGGCTCCCAGTGGCTTCAGGCCATGGCGTTGCTCGAGGAGCTCGAGACACGCCAATTGCGAGGCTGGGGGGGGAATCCAAGCCATGGCTGTTGTTTTCTTCAGATGAAAGCCATGGTTTTGCAGGGTGCTGCCGCCGAGCGTGACGCAGGATGGGTGCTGTCGCAGGACGGGTGCTGTTGCAGGCTGCTGTGGATTTTCTGTTGGGGGGTGCCGCTGGCAAGCGTAACGCAGGGCAAAAGTTGTCGCAGGGTGTGCGCGCTGTGATTTACAGGGAAGCGCGTGTGTTTAGCGCGTGTATACGCACGCCAGGTTGTATCAGAACCCGGCTCCGTGTGACTGAAGGGGGCGACAGCCTTCAGGGTCCAAGTCGTGGCTTTGCGCGAGAAAATGATAGCAGGAAAAAGCAACAATATATGTTGTGGGTTCTTGGATGCTAATTCCAGGGGTTGCTGGAAAGGGGCAAATTCAGAGCTGGAGACGCAGCTGCCAAAGCGTTGCTTTCCGACTGAAAGTTGCGATTTGCGAGATGAAGCTGCCAAACTGCAACCTTGGAAAACAAGAAGGTTGAGTGCCAATAACAGTTTGTGGGACAAGCGAAAAGGCACCGGGCTTTATACTTTTCGCGTGCGCAAGTGTGCGTGCGTTCTGCCACATGCCCGTTTGCGCCCTAAATGTGCATTCCTAGCGTACACACATGGGTGTGCGTACATAGGCGTGCGTGTATGTGTGTGTGTGTTTCTGTTTGTCTGTGCACTCTTGTTCGTGTGCTCACCGCGTGTGCAAATGGGGAGTTCTGCGCGTAGTCTCATGTGTGTTTCGTACATACAGGCATGCGCCCTTCTTCAGTGTACGTAATTTCCGCGTGTGCATGGGGACCGCCACCTGTTTCTCAGCGCAACTCATTTGATCTTTGCGCATTCGCCTTGTATACCAGTGTGTTGTGCTCGAGCACGTGCGCACACACAAGCATTCCTCGAGCGTGTGCGCATTGGGGTTCCGAGTGTCGACGCGTGTGTTCCACGCATGTGCGCATGTGTTCGCCGAAAGATTCGTGTTTCTAGTGTGTACACAGGTGTGTGTTCTCCTCCTGCACGTGCTGTGCGTTCCGAATGTGTGCACATGTGTATAGGCTAGTGTCTTCCGCGCTTAGTCTTTACGCATGAGTGTTTGCAGTGTGCTTTGGGCATGTGCCCATTCGTGTTCCGAACGCGCATACGTGTATGCCCTGAATGCACACACACACACATGTGTGTGTCCACTGGGTATACTGTGCATTCATACCTTCGGAGGCAACAGTTGAGATATTTAAGATACTGCATTGCATTGTCCGTTGTGAATGTTTCGAACACCAAATGATAGGTTGAGCGAACAGAAAACATGTTTTCGATAGGCAAACGCGGGATTCCGATTCCTGACTTCTCAACACCCGCAGAAGGTCGACCTTTTGTTGCTTTCCCACTAAGCCAACCCTCAAACTGCTACAGAAGACAAATACCAATGTGTGTGTGTCCAAAACTTGACCTCTAAAAAACTTGGCATCCTTTTGGTTTCCGTCTGAAACAGGATGAAGCTTTAGAAAACCCACAGACCTCAAAAATCTAAGGCACGGTGGTCACCTATGGCGCGGCCATAAGCGCCTGCGAGAAGGTTGAGGCATCGAGCCCATCCGTCCCGGGCCCAACTTGAAGCGGTTGCAGTTTGAGGGCTTCTCGTTTATTGATTGATGGATTTTTACATCTTGGGTGGGAAACCCCCACCATGGCAATTTTGGATGTCCCGTTATCAGACCCCGTCAAATTTGAATTGCATCCAAATCCTTTTGTGTGTGTGGTGGGTCCGGGGTTCAGTCTAAACATGGTCAACCCCAAAAAGGGTTCCCCGTTTGCTGGGGTCACTGGGCAACTGGGTTGTTTGTCCTTGCACAAGACAACAAAAAATCCCACTGCAAGCAATGGCACGGATAGTGTTGCTCATGTCGTCTATATGGATTTGTCTCAAAATGAACCCACTTCCGGATGGGGAAAAAATGCAAGCAAAATCAATCCAACCTCCCAGAGGAGACCCGCCCGGAATGTTGCTATTGTGACATTGTTTTTCCTTCAGAACAGCTCCATAGCGAGTCCCAAGTCAGAAAAACAAATATATCAAAATGAACCCCTGCTACTGGCAATGTCGTTTTTGTGTTTCCCTTCAAATCATATTAAACGGGGTTCTCTATGTCCTGCTCTGGCTTTGTGTGCACCTCGAACAACTCGCATTTAAAAGGATGCGTTCCGTTTTGGGAGGCGGGGGGTCCGCGCGTTTGGATGACACCCTCTCTTGTCTCCCTAGTAAACTGGGGCTGACTGTAACTACGCAACTTGTGTGACAATCGGGTGACTGTAACTTGTCTAACTACCAATCGGGTTCGGCATCAGTAGAGTCATGTTGACAGGGGACATGTCCGCGTTCAAGCCCTCCCCACACTCATCTGACACGTGTGCTGGCCACTAATTGAAAAGGGCCCGTTTCGGTGACATGTTTCAGGTCTTTTCGGATATGTTTTTTTTCATCCAAGGAATTCCCCAATGAGGTGATTCCCCACGAGAGCGACTACATCCTGGGGTCAAAACAAAGTTGATTTTCTTTTGTTTATGCCCTCCTGTTGGTTTCAAAGAGCAATGGTCCCAGGTTAAAGCACTGGAATCATTTGAGGCTCAAGCTATGGATGTGCATTTGGGAATGGCTCACAATAAGGGACTCCCTTTTGAAAAATCCGACAAGTGGCTCGTGATGTTGAGAGATACCCGTTGAATGAAACGTCATTCATTGGGTCAAGCAGTGGCTTCTGCACCTCTTGCCTGAGCATCTTGAGCCTCGAGTTCTCCATTGGGTTTGACAAGTATTTGAGAAGCTCTGGTTTCCTTTGAAAGGACATCCAACGAAGCTGAGTCAAGTTAGTAACGGATATTTAAGTCTCTTACATGGATTTGGGTAAGCCGGGTTTTGATTGTGACGCTAAAGTTCACATATTTCCCAGTGAGGCTTTCTTGCGAAAGGGCTAACAAGCTCACGAACGAGCGATTCCACCTGAAAGGTCCCTGCGATGGGATTCCCGAACCGAACTCAGGTCGGACAATCATTGCAGGGGTACGGGCAATAGGATTATTGCGTTGGAGTTCCCGTGTGAGAAATGATGCAGTGACAAAGCGTAATGGAAATCAGCCACTTTTGGTATCGCAGCAAGAGGCCAAGCATTGTCCACATCCAAAAGACTCCTTTGAGCCTATGTGAGATTGCGCGCTGGGCGCGAACGGCCTTGCTGTACATTCATGTGAGTATAGTGCACCATGCTGACTTTGTGGCATTCCTGCCCGAACAACTCCCTGGGCAGGGAGAGATATCACAAGCCTTCCGGGGGCACTTTGGTCGTTTGTCAGACAGCTGGCTTCGAACCAGGATCAGAATGCTCGAAAAGCATGTCAGTTGATGAACCTCTAAGGCGCCACGGTTCCCTTCAGAATCCCTCACAGGGCCCTGATTTGAGTTGACACAGCCATGTATACCTGTTGAGGGTGTCCAGACATATGGAACCTTCCATTGAGGCGTGTGCAACCTGCCGTTTGTGCCGACATGGGCTTCTCACCTGCCCAAAGCCGGCCTTTTGACTTTTATGCCAGCGTTCAACTTTTTTGGTGTCTCAAAGCCGGGACCTTGCCACAGGATTGGGAACGAGCACTGCTGCTGCTGTGCACTTTGAGCCAGCGAAGGCTGCAGTCGAGCATCATTGCCCACAGCGCAGCTCGGAATGGGTCGGGGCAGTTTGCTCAGGTCACACCAACATGAGATGCTTGATTTGAATGTACGCAAAGGGGGTGGGAATGTTTACCCAGCTCCTTTGGGCGTTTGCTCAGTTGAGAGCTCGCAGCGCCCAGTTGCACGGCGGTTCGGCTCCACTGGTGTTTCCATTTTGTGTTTCCGTTTGACTGGGCTGTTCAAACGCCTTCATCCTTGGGTTACAGAAGGGCGTGGCTACGTTTGTGGCAGCTTCCCAATCGCAGGACGGAGGACGGAAATTCGAATTGAAATTCTGCCCGGGTTGCCAGTGGGTTTTTGTGAATAGAACAGGGGCCATCATCATGCTAAGAACACTATACAACCAACGTGGCCACTTGGCTCAAGAAATGCATGTGACTTCTCACCGCAATCGCCGTGAACAACATATCGAGCTTGCAGGCAGGGCGCCTATTTGAGGATAGTCAGGTTATCACACCCTCCCCGAGGGGCAACACAACCAGTGTTGTCGGGGAAACCAGGAAACCCCTCGGTTTCTCAGGTTATCAGCCGTAGGGCTTGTCCCACGTGCTGTGAGACAAGATTGATTCGAAGCGAGAGGTCTTGAACCCCGCTTCATATTGAATCGATCGATTTATTTACTCACATTGCCAAGTGGTGCAATCCTTGCGTGACAATGTCCGATGGTAGATCTTCGCTGCCGGAATTTCATCTCAGGGAACACCGGAATCAGCCGGCCATGGGCGTGGGGATGCTATCGTTGTGAGTACTGGGCCTGCGGCAGTAAGCCAGCAAAGTGATGCCGGCGTTGATCAGATCACGGGAGCAGGGGCTTCCTCCTGGTCAAGAGCACCGTCGCCTTCAGATGAGGACGATGGGCGGACACGAGTCCGTAAGTCTCGTAAGGGAGAAAAGTCATCCTCCCCCCAAAATACTAGAAGGGGCACTTCTAACATCCAACCCAAATAATCAAACAAAATTCACAGAAAACAAGATAAGAACCACCAAGCAACTCAAAAACCAGAATAACCCACAACAAAATATTTAATCACAGCATACAGCATTAAATAATTCAATCAAGCATACCAACAAAACAGCAAAACTAAAAACCATCAAAGAACACAAACTCAAAAACACACACTAACAAATTTCAAAGCAGTATAACAACAAAAACATATCAGAAGAGTATAAACAAAATAAAATACAAACAGCCAAAGCACGAAAAAGTCAAAACAGCATACCAAGTTCAAACAACGCACTTTGAAAGAGTTAAGGTAATTAAGGAAAATTAAAATATTTCAATCTTTACAAACCATAAGTATAGTATAATTATAACATATAAGACTTTACATGTTATTATTATATTATGATTATAATTTCAGTTCAGGATAATAATTTATTTCATTCTTCTTACTTCTTTCATACATCATTTTAAAAAAAAGAAATATTAATATCTCTCACGTATTTTGAACATTAAGCTTTTTACTTTCAATAAATAATTTGATATTTTCTTTAACATCTTCTCCTTTCTTTTGACTATAACTATAACCCAACATCCATAATATATCATAAAACATTTCATATTTTCTTACTGATTTTAAGAAACTGTTTAACATAATCGTAAGGTGGTATTTTATTTACAGTTAGAAATATTAAAACCTCATCTTCTACATTTCTATTATGTCTTCCTTTGATTCTCAACACACATTTGATTAAAGTTTGATTATCTCTCCAATGTATACAGTTTTCACATTCGTCTTCTTCATCCATTGAATAGTTAATAATATTATTCACTATTTCATTAAAATCAGTTTTTACAATTCCATATTTTCCTTTTTGAAGTGACAACAATCATAGCATTTTTTATTTATATAATTATTGATTTCATCACCGTTCATTTTCCTCTTATTATATTAAGGCACTATTTCTTTAAGTCATTTTTAAGGCATTAAGAAAAATTAAGAAACAACCCATAAGTTTAGTATAACTATAACATAAGATTTTACATGTTATAATTATATTTCAATTTAGAATTAAGGAGTAAAACAAGAGTCAGGCAATATGTCTTCAAATATGTAATCTACATATTTATCAATATCACCAATGTCTATATATTTGATATTGTCTTTTCCTATTCTTGAATAAATATGTTCCCAGAAATACAAATTAACTAATAGACATACTTTATATTTGGTGTTGCTGTAATACCATACAGTATATTTAGCTATTCTAAATTCATTCAAGACCTCGTTTATTTTATCTTTACTTAGTAAATACCAATCAATCGCTTCAAACATGTCACGAAATTCTTTAGCAACTGATTTATAAGGTTTAATGCTTAGTTCTCCTCCAACCTTGAAATCAAATCTTTATTATTAAAGAACTCATCAATTTGTTTTTCAAATGACTTTATTGCAACTTTATGGTAAAACCATACAGGAAATCGTTTGTGATATCTCATAAAGAATTTCAATTGTAATTGAAACTTTGTATATCCCTTATCCTTATGTTCTTCATCAAAAAAGTGTTCAAGGTCTCTAGTTATACAACACTGGTTACAATATACATTATACTCACTTATTTTATTACACAGATTAGCAGGTAATAAGTTATACAATGTTAGATTAATATCATTCTTTTTATTATTGCTACATTTACACTTACTATAATTAAACAGTGTCATTTTCCACTTCATGTATTAAGGTATTAAATCTTTAAGTATAATTTTCTAAAAAGCCACTTAAAGAAATAAACACATTAAATTATATAGTATAGTATTATGAAACATGTTATGGATTATCTGTTGAATAATGATAAAGCGGCAATTCCAAAAAGAGGAAACAAGGAATTAAAATCAATAATTATAGATGGTAGAACATTTAGATACAACAAAGAAAAACCTATCTCGAATGTTTTGAACAAGAAATGAAAATCAGTAGCAAGCACCAATGAATATAATAGTCATGCTACAAGAACAATTCGTTCAACATACCGTAAACAAAGAATGAACAATGCCATGACAAAATACGCTATAAAAAACAAATTCAGAATAACAGACCAACAATCAGCTTTCAAAAGTTATGCTAATTCTATAAAACTAGTAAATAAACATTTTCAAGGTGAAAAGGCGTTATCAATGATACACCACTAAAAAGATAGACTTTTTAACTTCTTGAAAACTAACAGAGCTATGAAATTGAATATAAGGGCAGAAGGTTTATTTTATCATTATTTTGATGATGATACAGGAGTAATAAGACATACAGAGATAGTTTTTAATTTACCAGCTACAAGGTCTAACGTTTATAATGAAACCGATTTGGATGAAGCAATTGAAAAATCAATCAAAGAAATTTTGCTGAACATAGAGAAACTAGAAGGTTCAGCGTCTAATTTACAATTTATAAGAATATTATCAATAACCATTCATTATGACAAGTATGACCCAACAAGAGCGGGTAGTTATATAGATTTACCAGAATGGATTAAACTAAAAAAAGGCATGTATTAATATCAAAAACAAAGATAACAAATGTTTTAAATATAGTGTTCAAAGTGTAGTGTATGATACCAATAATAAACCGAATTCTCAAGAAATGTTTCATTACACCAAATTACACGATGACATTTTGAACTGGGAAGGCGTTAAATTTCCAACTGGTAATAAAGATATTGAAAGGTTTGAAAATAATGGTAAGTTAGTTTCAATCAATGTTTATGAAATTGATGACACTTTGAATGACAAAAAAATACAATTGAGTACAGGACTAAAACAAGAGATGCTAAATATCAAATAAACCTTTTGAAAATTGAAACAGACAATAACCATCACTATGTTGTTATTAAAAATCTAAGTCGTCTTATGAACTGGCAAACAAACAAAAATGACCAACCAAAACATTATTGCCACTATTGTTCTCATGCTTTTACTAGAAAGGATTTATTAAGAAACACATTATGAAAAAGGTTGTATGGCAACACACCAGTTTAAATTACCAAAAGAAGGTAGTTATATTGAATTTGAAAAGTACACAAAATTAAAATGTCCATTTGTTGTTTATGGAGATTTTGAGTGTATAACTGTAAATTCAAACAATGGCATCAAGGGCACTTATCAGGAACATAATCCATGCGGTTATATGTTGAATGTTGTAAATTCTATCGGTAATACAAGCCGACCTTTTTTTATACCGTGGAGGGGATTGTTTAGACCACTTTGTAAATAAATTAACAGAAATTAAAAAAAGATATTTTTGATAAAATGAATGTTAATAAACCAATGGATATTACAGATGAACAAGAAGCAGAATTTAGAAAAGCTACTGTATGTTCAATATGTAATAAACATTTTAAACCAGAAGATATAAAAGTTCGTGACCACTGTCATTTTACTGGTATGTATAGAGGTTGTGCTCACGAAAAATGTAATTTGGATTATTCATTCAGATATTTCAAGATACCAGTATTTTTTCATAATTTTAAAAACTATGACTCTCACCTAATCATAGGTAAAGCAAATGAAATAAATAAGGAATTGAACGAAAATAAGAAAATAGATGTAATAGCACAAAATAGCGAAAAGTTTATTACATTTTCGTTTGGTTCATTACAGTTTAAAGATAGCATGGCTTTTCCCTCAGCATCTTTAGATAAATTAGTTAAGTTAAATAAATATGACATAGTAGGTAAAGATGAGCATGATAAACCTATACATAAAAAACGGAATGACTGGGAAAATAATTTTAGATTTTCAGCAGCAAATCCATATATTAGAAATAAAACCGATTTAGACTTATTAACTGAAAAAGGAGTTTATCCTTACGACTACATGAATTCATTTGATAAATTCAATGAATCGCAATTACCAAATATAGAAGACTTTTACAGTCAATTATATGAAGAAGGCATAACAGATACACAACACACAAGGGCAAAAGTAATATGGGATAATTTCAATATCAAAAACCTAGGTGAATACCATGATTTATATTTGATGGCCGATG